GAACTCAGTGAGTTAAAAAAAAAAAAAGAAGAAAACAGTTCTATCATTATGCAGATGTTATTATAGAGATGGTTATAGACATTGAGCAAGGAAATAATTATTTATTAATTAATAAAATTAATTTCAGAATGCAAGCAATGAATGTCAGGCTGCAACAAATATGCTATGAAATAAATAAGACAGGATAATGCAACAAACTAGGAGGAGGGGAGATATATCGGCTTTCGAGGCCAGGCAAAAAATATCACCTGAGGAGGTGATATTGTGCAGAAGTCTAGATACAGTGCAATCCAGACAGAGGGGACGGCAGTGCAAAGGGCTTTAAGTGGGAACAAGCTTAGTATAGATGAAGATAAAGACATCCACTGGAAAGAATAAAGTTGGTAGTATCTCGTTACAAACGAAGAGAAGACAGAGATGCCTGGGTGGCTCAGTCTGTTAAGCATCTGACTTCGGCTCAGATAATGATCTCAAGGTTTGTGGGTTCAAGCCCCACGTCGGGCTCTGTGGTGACAGCTTAGAGCCTGGAGCCTGCTTCAGATTCTGTATCTTCCTCTCTCTCTCTGCCCCTTCCCTGCTCAGTCTATCTCTGTTTCTGTCTCTGTCTCTTTCTCAAAAATAAAAAAACTTACACACACACACACACACCAAGAAAAGAGAAAGACCAATTTGAGGGAAATGATAGCTGTGAAATCCAGAGAAACCATCCTGCCATTCAAATCAATGCATCAGAATTTCTAGTTGTCTTACTGCAGAAATGTTTAAGCTAATATTCCCATTTTCTATGACCCTCTTCTCCACTAGGTTGAAGGCTTGTCTTGCCACCCTGTTCGGTACCATTTCTGGAGAGGCAGGGAAGTTAGGTAGCAAAGTGAGAGTCATACAATTTTTTTTTACTTTATTTATTTATTGAGGGAGAGAGAGGGTGCAAGGGAGGGGCAGAGAGCGAGGAAGAGAGAATCCACGCCAACAGCCCGGAGCCCTACAGGGGGCTCAATCCCACAACCCTGAGAACATGACCTGAGTTGAAATCAAGAGTCAGATGCTTAACTTTTAACTGACTGAGCCACCCAGGTGCCCCAAGTCATGCCAAATGTAATGGCTAAAAATGACACTCGGTTTTCACTACCATGTTTTCTTCTTTAGGGGAAAATAGGGAGCCCAAGGAAGCCACTTATTCTTATAGAACTCTAAGCATTGTAGAACAGCTATTTCCTTTTGGAATTTCTTTCCAGTGGCATTTAGCAGATCTCTACCATAACTAGGTATAGCCCTCCCTCCCATTTTCCTTTCCTTCTGGATCAGAGAATTATTTTTTAATCACAAACTTAAATTTGAGACTGACTGTCATTTCTTCACCTACAGAAGAGTTCATGTTTATAATTTTAAAGTGTTCAAGGGGCAGTCAGAGGAAAAGGTCCATTTAGGAAACCAGAAGATAAATGCTCAAATCGGAAATGCTACAACTTTTAAATATAACATACAATCAGCTCATTATGGCTTCTAAATTTTATAAAACACGGAAGAGAAGTTGCTGCTTTTTTGAAAAACGTTTCAGGACACTGAAAAATCTTCAGCAAAGTTAATTGATGTTACTCAGTAAATAATAACTAACTTTAAAGCAGATGTGTTATAGACAGCCTGTTAAAAGCATGATAGTACAGAGATGAGGAAGCCACACAGGCTTTTGAAGTAACCAGGAAGGGATTGCAGTTCTGGTGCCTCTCCTTGAAAATTCTGTCCTAGCCAGCCCACCGCCCCCGGGCACGAGTGGCCTGGGAAACACTTCTTCCAATAGTACTCAATCTTCTAGCACCCTCGCTATTTCTATATGTTTGTGGCATGAATTTACTTATTATGAAGGTCGGTAGATGAAATTGTGGCATAGAGTTCAAGCGTGGGTCACCTCAAGATAATGGACATCCCCTCAGGATAATCAGCATTTCATCTTTAAATTTTTTTCTGTAGTATTCGGCCTCTGAAATTCCATTTCATAGGGTAATGAAGGAAAACTTTCTTTTCCTCCCTTCAGCCCATTAGTACGTTTTCATAAAATTTGCCAATTGAACCAATGTAATTATTAAAGGCACACCTTCTGCATATCATGGTTTCAACATTTAAAAATCTCAAAAGGGCTAAAATCTTTTTTTTTTTAATTTTTGTTTTCCCCAGTAATTCACTGAGATGTAATTGAGACATAACTTGGTACTTCCTAATGTTATAAATTAAGCAATTCTCTCCCAAAATTACTTACATATTTTTGCATTACTTTTCAAAAAAATAGATTTTTCGGGGCGCCTGGGTGGCTCAGTCAGTTAAGCATCTGGCTTCAGCTCAGGTCACGATCTTGCGGTTTGTGAGCTTGAGCCCCGCGCTGGGCTCTGTGCAGACAGCTCACAGCTCAGAGCTTGCTTCAGATTCTGTGTCTCCCTCTCTCTCTGCTCCTCCTTCACTCTCACTCTGTTTCTCTCTCTGTCCCAAAAATAAGTAAACATTAAAAAAAATAGATTTTTCCATCCGCCTAATTGTTCCTAATTCATTTTTAAGTACATTTAGATTTATTTGGAATATTTTATCAGGAAAAACAAATAGTCCTCTTCAATATTTGATGGCCTTAAGAAATAAAGTGTTAGTTTAGAAGAGCAGAGCTATGTAGATTGAACTCCTTGGTATGCCAAAGCAGTCCAAAGATCACAGTCCTGCAGCAGGAAAAGAGGGTGGAGGTGGGAAGGACATAGGTGAAAGTAAAGTGTGCAAAATGAGAAATCCTGAATTGAGTAGAGATATTAAGCTGAAAGAGGAAAAGTTTGTAAGCAAATAAAAAAGGGATAAAAGTAAATAGGTGGGGTGTTGGGACTTAAACCATAGGAGCTCATTAAATTTTACATCCTTTCTCTATATAGTTTTCCACTTGTGGAAGTACACAAACACACCCAGGTATGTAATGGAATAAAAGGTCATAATTGTTAGGGCTTGAAGTAATTGTGTGCCAAAAACTTTAAATGAATTACCATCCCACATTGAATGTTAAAATAGTCATGTGATGAATCATCACATAACAATATAATGAAAAGAGGTCTTCCTCTTCAAACATGTTTTTTAAATATATTGATTAATATAGTAGTTCTGTGTTTAGTTAATTTTAGCAATATAGCAAATATTAGGAAGCAAATACAAGGCAAAGAGTACCTTCTTCTATTACTCCATGAACTTCTGGACAACCTGAAACACCAACTCTGGAATGAAGTAAGTGCAATGATCAAGTCTGACTATTGGTCATTTTCAGCCAGACCAGAACAGATCAACTAATCCAATCCTCCAGAAAATAGAGTCAAGTGGAAGTCTGTGGACATTTATTGACAGTGGAAGGTTAAGGAGTATAAGCTTTGGAGTTAGATCTACATTTAAACTCTAGACTTATAAGTAGCCACTTAAAAGCTTCTGTAACCATAAGAGGTATCTTTACCTCTGTGAAGCCTTCTTATGCAGAATACAGAGTTTAGTGGCTAATTTGGTTGCTGTGAGATTTAAATGAATTGATGCATGTAAGCTTTCCAACACAGCGTTTGAGACATACTGGGACCTCAATAAATGGTACTTTAATATAAAGCTCCCTTTAAATAATAGTTCCTTCTGCCTACCAGAGCATAGAATGGAAGCTTGGACCTCTCCCTACTCTGTTCATGAGCCACAGCCCACGTTGTAGCTGAGGCAGTTGGCCATTATTTATCAAAAAGAGACACATGATATGTCTCTCTAGTCAACCTAGCTAAGAATTATGTCTGAATCTCCTCTTCCTTCAGGAGCCCAGACACCTCAGACAATTCTAGAGTGTGAAAGGAGGTAATGACTACCATGACATGAAAAAGCATTATTGTGAAAGCTCATTTTTCTGGTTGTATTCCCTTTGAGTGTGTTTAGAGCCTTGGTTACATGGACCTAGCCAGAGTCTGATACATCCAAATTGGTTTTCTTTGCCTACTTGAAAAGTTTCGTATATTATCTGATCCCTCAACAGGGGTAATTCTTACCTTGGTTCAGGCTTACATTGGGAATAAAAGAACTGTAGATGTAAGAGGAGAATTAAGGGACCACCCACCTCATAGGTCACACAATGGGTACAGTGAAGAAAGCAACAGGACTTGGGGCTGAAGTCTGGCTTCTTGGCTTCTTGCTAGTTTTGGTGAAGTCTCTCAATATTTCTCAACTACAAAATGATAATTCTTACTCGGTAGGATTTTTGTGTCTGTGGTGGTGGTGAAATTGCTTTACAAATTGTATAGAAGTGTGCAGAGTAATAGTGTCTATTCCAATAGAAATGAATTTGATGTGTAAAATAAATATTAGGCTATATTGAATTTCAATATCAATAAAATTGTCACTACTTATGAATTCCAACATTGCTCTAAAATGAAGGACTTTGTTCTAATCCTGTGTGTCTGTGAAATGTATTTCACATATAGCATATATTACTAATGAGCAGTAATTTTGTTATCTGATATTAAATTAACATCATGATACTAGTTGCAATCATCCTGTAAACATATGAATTATTCTCCTTACTAAAATACTATTTGTAGCATTGCTTAAGTATCCAGCAAGAGAAAAATTGGAAATACCAAGTGGCAAATTCATTTTTAACTTAGGAAACCCAAAGACTCATGTATGAAAGTATATAGCCATATCTTCTACTAACATGAGCGAAACAGGGTTGGTTTTATAAAACCTACGATTTAGATAGTTCTCTCTTACAATATAAGAAAATAAAATGATTGAAACTGATCTGACCTTTGTGGGCTTTTTTTTACAATATCTTTTTTTATTTGTTTATTTTTTTTATCTATATTTCCTGATAGGCAGAGATGATGACATAGTGGCCTGTTAAGGGCAGAGAAGTTTCTATAAAAACCCACACGAGGTGGGTTTCCTGCATGCTGACTTGAACTCATTTATTCCAGGAATTACCTTTGTTTGCAGAAGAGAAAACCAAGTAGAAGATCATGGCGAGTTCTGACTGGGGATATGATGACAAAAATGGTAAGAGTTCTTCTGTTTGTGTAGGGCAAAATACTAGCTCATTCTCTTTTCCAGTAAAAGAGGCATTGGGCATTTTTAAAAATAAACAAATAAATACAAATATAAATAAAATAACTATACAGTCATAGGTTAATGGTTTGAATTGCCTGACTTGACTAATTATAATAACTTTGCATGCACTCTTAGCAGTTTTCCTTTAGGACATGGTTACCCTCAGAATGTGTTCTCTGTCTCTTCCTCTTTCTCAATCTCTCTCTCTCTCTCTCTCTCGTATGTATATTAGAAATCTGGTACTAATTGTAAAATACTTACTGTGGTGTTGACGAATACACTATTTCATAGGGTAGTATAGGAAAGTAGCATTCTTAAATGTTGAATTTTCATTAAGGTAAACAGAATATCATTTAAGATACCTGAATTAATCCTATTCTAATAAGCAAAGAACTAGTTATACTCCTAAAACTTGGAATCAAACATGTGATGAAGTTTTGATTGTATGTGTGTGTTTGCCTTGGTAGGTCCTGAACAATGGGGCAAGCTGTATCCCATTGCAAATGGAAATAACCAATCTCCCATTGACATTAAAACCAGTGAAGCCAAACATGACACTTCTCTTAAACCGATCAGTGTCTCCTACAATCCAGCCACAGCCAAAGAAATTATCAACGTGGGACATTCTTTCCATGTAACTTTTGAGGACAACGATAACCGATCAGGTGAGCCAAAAGATCCTTCTGATTATGTTTTCTTTAACTCTTCTGGGACAAGTTAAACCATAAGACTTTAGGAAACACAAACACCGTCCTCAGTCTTTTGTGCTTGTGTGTAGTACATACTGCAATCTGGTGAAGCATCTTGGACTTCTGAAAAACTCGCAAGTGGTAAAGGTGATTTTTGGAACCTCTAGCTCTGTCTTCTTTCAGCCTTTCTCTTCTATGACACCATCCCATCTCTTCTGATCTTCTAGAATCTTTACATTCACTTCACACCCTCCTCTAAATAAACAGTGTTTTTCCCCAAGAAGGTCTAATGAACCATCCTAATGAATATAGAATATAGAACATGAAACTAAAAAGGAGAATATTTTCTAATTGGAATGAAGAGAGAGGAGCACAATAGGAAAGAGAAACAGAGTGAAGAATGTGTTTATTTTTTACAACCAGAAAAATAGCTCTATTGTTGTGAAGTGCTCAGGTACCAGTACGAAAATAAGTCTTGCATAAATCTTGCAAGATTTATTCTGTGCATAAATACACTTGTGTATCTCCCCCCTCCACTACTATACTGTAGTCACTGAACTATCTTCATACCCCTGCTACATGGTAAGATTTTCACAAATGTTCCTTGAATAATTATTAAATGACAGTTTCATAAGGCAACTCTACTGACAAAAAGCAAAACTTGTTTTATCACTTTCCTACAAGGTTCTCAGCCTAAATTTTAGGCACCTTGGGGCAATGTCCATTGTTAATATTAAATGAGATCTGGTATTATGTGTGTTTAATTAGTCATATAATTATGTAGCCTCTCCAAAATGGCATAGTCATTCAATGTTAAAATTTTAAAATGACCTTACTGCCCCACTGGTACGTTCTTCTGGTCCCTGGACAGGCATTCTCAACAAAGCTGTCAAGATACACTGTTATGCTTTGACTAGTAAGAAGTATATAATGAGTAATTTGTTGTTCAAAATAAATTATTAAGATCTTAATGCATACTGCCTATGTAGTCTTTGTTGAAAGAATGAATGCATAAACTTGGAAATTAAAGCATATTCAAGGAAATCTCTATAATTCATTTACCTTCCAATATATTTTCTTGGCAACAGAAAAAGGCAAAATTACAGTCTGAGTGCAGAGAATTGTATATAACTCAATGCAATGGTCAGGGACACACCACATGTATGAACACCATCATCATGAATGTGGGGGAAAAATCCAACAAGACAAAACCTTTGGCACTAGTGTTTGTTTTCAGTTCTACTCAATCCATTTTAGTGTTGCTGTATATCAAATGTAAAGATAAGCAGGAGCTTATGATCATGAAACTAATAGTAGTTCCCTTTTTCTTCTAGTGCTGAGAGGTGGTCCTCTTTCTGAAAGCTATAGGCTCAGCCAGTTCCATTTTCACTGGGGCCACACAAATGACTATGGTTCTGAACACACAGTGGATGGAGTCAAATATTCTGGAGAGGTAATGTAACTTAGCAAGTGAGACATAATTACACTGAGAATTACTCTCACAAGTAGCTGCTTTACCATATAAGACACCATTGTAATAGCTCCAAAAGAATGAGCTCTGGTCTCTATAAGAGAACTCCCAGACCCTTTTAAAATCAAACACACACATACTGAGTTTGGCAAAAGGAGGAAATTTTGCATGTGAAAAAGGTAGCTGAACTTGGAGTTGAGCTTCTGAACCCGAGAATCATCTTTCCCTTCAGAATGCCTTAAAAACTATGACCTTGACATCAACATCAAGAGGAGGTGCTGCTCTCCTTTAAAGCTCTGACTCTAAACTGACCACACCATTTGCTTCCTACTCGTGTTCCAGTTTGGACCCACCGGTGGCCTAGGTGTGGCCTGGTTGGCACACTTCATTAAGACTCTATACCAAGAGTGAGTGTTTAACCATAGGAATGGACACAAAGAATAACATACACGTAAGTGAGGGTCTGAGGGCTCCTGCTGTAGGCCACCACCCTCCACCCTCATGACTTGCCCTCACACAGAAGTCCGTGATTCATTTCGAGACATTTCATCTGGATATACATAGAAAAATCAAGAACATTTGTATCAAACTGTCAACAGAGCGTCTGGGAGATTGAAAAAGAAGAACTTCTGTTCTTTATATGCATTCATAAAATATATAAATATAATATATATATTTCCATATATATAGGTTGACTTTTTATTTTACTCTTACAAAATGAATTTGTAATACAAATAGTTTTGCAACTTTTTTTTACTTACCAATTTATCATAATCGTTTTTTCAAGTCAGTAGAGTTAACTCTAACTCATTCTTTTAATGTTTGCATAGCATTTCAATGTATGAATATATCAGAATTTATTTAACTGGCCTCCACTGATGGATAATTGCAATGCCCTTTGCTTTTTGTTCCATTGGTTTGTTTTTTTTTTAATTTTACCGAAATATACTACAACAAATACATCTGTACGTACACCTTATACCCCAGTGAAAACACATCAGTGGGGCAGATTTTTCAATAGGAGGATTGCTAGGTTACAGGGTATATGCATTTTTTATTTTGACAGAAGTTTTGGGAATTGTGTACAAATATAACTGGCTTTAGGTTACATTGTAAAGCTTGGCTAATAACTTTTAATACTACAGAAACTTTTAAATGTTTCCTCCCATTTCTCCCTCAAAAAATGTAGACTAAACTCAAATGTACTAGGAGCCTAAATTAATACTATCTTTTTAGATGGATATCTGACTGTATCTAAGAAATCTTAATCAGGGATTCTCTCATCTAATTTAAGAAAAATTAAAATAATCAAGGCTAGAGATGAGAGGCACTTAGCCACAAGATTCCACATTGAGGAAAGGAGTGAGGGAGGGAGGGAGAGCAGGAGTTGGAGGAGAGAGAGAGAGAGAAATTAAATAGGTGGCATGGAGAGAATTAGTTAATTCTGTGATATGATTGACCAGATGATTACTTTGTGTTCAGAGGTCAGAAAAGGATTCTTTCAGTAGTGGCATTTGTGTTCAGCCCTAATTCAAGACAAAAGGCTGCCATTGACAGATTATGGGGAAGGACATTGCAGACAAAATCAGCAACTAGTGTAAAGCTGTGAACCAAGTGAACAGGTATAATCTATGAGATGTGCTTGCTGAAACAGGGCTATTGAAAAGTGAGAAAGTAAGAAAATAATGATAACTGTTGTAGCTTTTGATTGAGCAGTTAGATAGATGGTGGTACCTTTTCCAAAGATGGGAAAATGAAACAGTTTTGGCAAGGAAGAAATCAAGAGTTATACTTCAGCCATGTTAAGTTTGAGATACTTATTAGACATCGATGTGGAAATATTAGGAAGATATCAAGGTGACATATGTACGTGTTGGATATTAAGATCTGGAGTTCCCCAGAGAGGTTAGGCTAGAGATAATGATCTGAGAGATGCCTAGACGTGCTCAAGAGAATGTGTTCTTGGCCAAGACTCCTAGATTGTCCAGGAACCTCTACCCATAAAGTTACAAAAAAGTATCTCACATGACAGAATATTTCAACTGTGTTCAAAACTAGTCAATTCAAATTCCTGATCTTTTTATATACCAAAGCAATTTTTTAAAAGGAATAAGATTGATTAATTTCAATATTAGGGGAAAAGAAATTTTACTCATTGTTTCCCTGGAAATTGCAAATTGCCCACTCTACTCAATGTACATAACCCTTCTTAAGAGTGAGAATATAGCCCTTTTTATCCACTGGATAAAGGTTCACATAAATGTTATTTAAGCCAGCAGTACATCTTCATACGTTAATGAGTTAATTTATAATTTTTTGTCTTCACAGTGACATAAATAACTAATTGACCACATTATCATTTTTAGCTTCACATAGTTCACTGGAATTCTGAGAAATACTCCAGCTTCGCTGAAGCTGCCTCACAGGCTGATGGTTTGGCAATTATTGGTGTTTTGATGAAGGTGAGTTACAGAGAGTTACAGAACTCAGTTAACACCATTTCTTACCAATCAGACATCAAAAAAGTATGAAATAAGGCAAAAAGATATCCAAGTCTTTCTTTTTCAAAATTCTCCATGAGGCGCCTGGGTGGCTCGGTCGGTTCAGCGTCTGACTTCAGCTCAGGTCATGATCTCACGGTTCGTGGGTTCTAGCTCTGCATCGGGCTCTGTGCTGACAACTAGCTCAGAGCCTGGAGCCTGCGTCATATTCTGTGTCTCCCTCTCTCTTTGACCCTCCCCTGCTCATGCTGTCTCTATCTCTCTCTCAAAAATAATTGAAATATTAAAAAATAAATAAATAAAAAAATAAAAAATAAAAATTCTCCATTCTACTAATGGCTGCAGTTGAGCAAACAGTTCTCAAGTACTTTGTTGCTTTGTTTCCTCTTGGTTTTTTCCCTTTTTAAGAGAAAATTAAGTTTCAGGTGGGGATAACATGGGAAGATGTTGGAGGAGGTTGGAATTTCTATTTTGCAGCTTTTCCAAATTTTCTTTCTTCTCAACTTCTTACTTCATAGCTATAGGAATTTATCAACTTAATGTATCATCAGAAAAAAATACTAAGGGGATTATTGTCCAATAAAGAAAGTTCAGTGAATATTTAAAATGTTAGATGTTGACGCACCTGGTGACTCAGTCAGTTAAGCATCTGACTATTGATTTTGGCTTAGGTCATGATCTCAAGTTCATGAGATCAGGCCCTCCGTTGGGCTCTGCTCTGACAGCATGTAGTCAGCTTGGGTTTCTCTGTCTCCCTCTGCCCCTCTTCTGTTTGCTCACTCTCTCAGGAAAGTTATTATTAAATTGGGTATTCTAGGATCTTTTGGGTTCTGCTCATCAAATTACAATGTGGCAGGAATTAGAGCAATTCTAGCTAACCTTTAATGAGCACTTAAAACATGCCATGCATTGTACTAATTAAAAATAAAACAAGCCAAAAGTAAGAGATTGTATTCTGTATCATAGTTTTGCTAAATTCCTGGATTTTGACTTGTATATCCTTGAACATCTTGCCCATATTAAATTAAAACCAAGGTTTTGTTTGCTACTTCATCTGTGGTGTGAAGAATGATATACATGGAGCCATTTTAAAATGGAGCCACAGTAGCCATTTCAGAACTGTCTTGCACCTCCTGCTTTCTGAACCTTGGAACTGGATCAAACTACCAACATTCCAAGAAGTTAGCAAGAATAAGAATAGCCTATTTGAGAGAACTGATAAAAGTAAATTTTTAAGTAGTGACCACTTCACCTGACAAAGTTGTGAAGTACAAATCTCACCCTGCTTGTCAGCACCAATGAACTCTTCTCAAAAACTACTTACATGGGGGCACTTGGGTGGCTCAGTTGGTAAGCTTCTGACTCTTGGTTTCGGCACAGGTCATGATCTCAATGTTTGTGAGTTTAAGCCCTGAGTCGTGCTCTGTGCTGACAGCATGGACTCTCTGCCTGTTCCATGTTCTCTCTCTCTCTTTCTCACTCTAAATGAATAAATGAAAACAAAAACTTAAAAAAAACCCTACTGACATGATCATACTTCTCGTCCATAAATGAGTCTGTGTCTTGTAACTGAAAAGCTATTTGAGTTTCTACCTCAATCTGTGTACCCCGAATTGTAATTCTTTGATCTCAGGTAAACCCTTTGCCTCTTGAGCTGGTTTCTTGTTTCTAGGTTGAGAATGGTTACACATTATGACCAATTTACAGAGCACAAGGGCCCACAGGGACATACACCCAGCAAAATTCCCTCTCCCAAAGCAGAGAGAAAATACCTTACCTTTCTTCAGTTACAGTTTCTACTTGAAAAAAAAAAAAAGCTAAACATATGTTGACTTAATAACAACTTCTAACACACACATTTTTTTTTAATCTCCAGGTTGATCAGGCCAACCCCAAACTGCAGAAAGTACTTGATGCCCTAAATGCAGTTAAAACCAAGGTAAATAGACTAAATGAATTAGTTTACATCAGAGAACAAGAGGGGCACTTGGGTGGCTCAGTCAGTTGAGCAACTGACTCTTAATTTCAGCTCAGGTCATGATCTCACAGTTTCTGGAGGATCGAGCCCCGCATCAGGCTCCAGGCTGAGAGCATAGAGCCTGCTTGGGATTCTCACTTTGCATGAGCACACCGTGCATGCACTTACTTAAGCACACCCAGGCATGCACACACTTTCTCTTTCTCTCTCAAAAAAAAATTTTTTTAAGGTAAATAGATAAATGAATAAATTTAAATCAGAGAACAAGAATCCATAGAACTACTGTCATCATTTAGTTACATATTTGAAGTGGGGAGTAGGAAGGCTAGAGCAAAAGCTACCATTCTGAAAATCAGGGTACTACTTGGATACTGCTTGCTCCTGAGAAGGTCTCTGACTCAGGTATTTGTTTCGGTTTTTATTTTCTTTTTCACAGTTATTGTTCACCTATTTCAGTAGAATGAAGCCTATAGAAGACATTGCTTAGCCATTCTATAAAAACTATATACAACTAAAATGTGATTTTTTTCCCATTTCATGAAGAAAATCATCTCTATTTCTTTAGCACTACAAAAATGCAGGAGTTAAGGATATTCTTTTGAGATACCATTAACATGCCACTAATAAACAATGAAAACAAACTAGAAATAAATAAAATAAGGCTAAAACATAACTAGTATGCATGTCAATAGTTTTGCCACTGGAACAGTTTCTGGCATCATTCCTAGAGAAACAATAAATATTTGGGCACCTGGGTGGCTCAGTCAGTTAAGTGTTCAACTTCAGCTCAGGTCATGACCTCACAGTTTGCGGGTTCAAGCCTCACTTCAGGCTCTGTGCTGACAGCTCAGAGACTGGAGCCTGCTTTGGATTCTGTGTCTCCCTCTCTTTCTGTCCCTCCCCCACCTCTGCCCACACTCTGTCTCTCAAAAATAAATAAACAAAAAAAAAAATTTTGTAAGAGACAACAAATGTTTTATTCTGGAAATGAAATATCTTCTAGAGAGTATAGATTATTTTAAAACTTTTTAACCTTTGATTACGTTCAACCAAATGAGAAAAGAAGATTAGCCAAAATGTCAATGTAGCAATTTTTCAGTCTTCTATTATTTTTATTGTTTATATCTACAAACACACCAGTGTATACCATACAGCAGAAAAATTAAATTTTCAGCTCAAATACCAAGACAATATATAGACCAAGATAATATAACATGGATACCATATATGTATATGATGTAAGTATTTTAAATCATGGTATAATGATACATTACTTTTCTTTTTCTTCCAGGGCAAACGAGCCCCATTCACAAATTTTGACCCCTCTACTCTCCTTCCTTCATCCCTGGATTACTGGACCTACTTTGGCTCTCTGACTCATCCTCCTCTTTATGAGAGTGTAACCTGGATCATCTGCAAGGATAGCATCGGTATCAGCTCAGAACAGGTAGAGTACAAAGGTGAAAGAGTGGGACTTAGGAGGGCAAAGCAGGAATTTCACTTAAATTCATGGTACTAAGGGGGACATTATGATTTCAAATGGATTTTTGAGGAGTTTATGTTCCATTTCCTGTGAAAAAGATTCATTCCTGCCATAGGTCTATTGAATAATTAAACAGAAATGTGTATTATAAAACCATTTTCTACTTTATAGGAACAAAACATGAGATTCTGAACTCCTACTATCTTTTTGACCTTATTTTTTTTTAAAAATCCAGCCTTGTACAGTATCTCCCCAAGAGTTTGAGACACAAAGTAAAGATTGTCACTGGAAATTCTGCCAAGACATTGAGGAAGTATGGCTCATGATAGACATACCTTCTGTGTCAAAGGTTGACAAAGGTTTTTTGTTCTTTTTTGAAGGTTTTAATTATTAACTATCCAACAAAGTATCTTTTTAATTATTGTTTATAATTATGATAATATAACTACCACTGATTGAGCAAGAACTTTTATTAGATGCCTTATACGTGTTTTGTCAGCCAATTCTCAGAACAAACCAATAAGACAGGCAATGTATGTAGCCTATTGGTAACTTAGGCTACATCCTGAAAACCATTCTAAGAACTTTGTATTAACCCATTTACTCTTCACCACAACCCAATGTAAATAGCTGATATTATTGAGTATTTTTCCTCAGCTATTTAAAGCTGCTCCATACTACATCATCTGTATAAAATTTTGCCTCTATTAAATCTATATTTAGTGATAAAATGTTGAGGGCACACCAATTTTTTTTTCAGTTGCAATCATTATTTTCACTTATGCAATTTTCTTTTAACTGTGAAGTCTGTGATTTTTTTTTTCATGCTTCAATAGTTTTATAGTCCAGTTGGTGTTTTTGTGGAAATCTTAAACATCTGTCTACATTAAATGACAGGGGATTTTTTTTGTTTTTTGTTTTTTGGTTTTTTTTGGTAAGGTGATGTTTTAAGTAAAAGGTAGGAATATATTTTGGGGTGGGAAAGTGATTATTCTGAGAGCTCATAAATTATCACACATTGTGCCTTAACAAAGAAGCCTTCAGCCGTAGCTTAAGTCACTCTAAATAGGCTAGATTTTTAGCAGAATAGAACATACAGGCTGAAAACAAAATGATGGCTGTCAGAGGAGAGAGGGTGGGAGACGGGCATTGATCGGCGAAGGGGAGGGGAAGGCACAGGTTCGGAAGGAGTGAGTCGCAGAGGGAAAAGGCACAGCACAGTGACTATAGTCAAAGTGGTGGAAATTTTATTCTACAGAAACTGAGGCAACAAGCAGAAAGTCACTCACCCAATTAGCCCAGTTGACACTCTGAGAAAACTGGCATTCTAATCCAGTCAATCATTGATCATTTAAACCAAATACCTAGCTCAAAGAAATGTGAAGTAATTTTTGACTTCCACCCTTCCAATCAGTGAAACCACTGCAGTCAGTAACTTAGTTTTTTACATTATCAGTGCATTGATTATACTGGAAATAAAGTGCTTTGGGGCGCCTGGGTGGCTCAGTTGGTTAAGCGTCCGACTTAGGCTCAGGTCATGATCTCGTGGTTCGTGGGTTTGAGATCCACGTCAGGCTCTGTGCTGACAGCCCAGAGCCTGGAGCCTGTCTCAGATTCTGTGTCTCTCTGACTGTCCTCTGCTCACTTTTTCTGTCTTTCTCTTTCTCTCACAAGTAAATTTAAAAAATATTTTAAAAATAATAAAAAATAAAGTGCTTTGTGTAACTGTAATAGCCTTTGAGTCTTTAAATATTCTGTCCTTCCTCCCAGCTGGCACAGTTCCGAAGTCTTCTATCAAATGTTGAAGGTGACAAAGCTGTCCCCATTCAGCACAACAACCGGCCTCCCCAGCCTCTGAAGGGCAGAACAGTGAAAGCTTCCTTCTGATGGGACCAGGAAGGAACTTACCCTCCCTCAGGGAACACTGCCCTGCTTCTGACACAATCCAGTAAAACTATTTTTAAGAAACCAATTTATTTCAATACTAGTAAGGCAGCATAGCTGCAAATTTAATCTGTGGAACTACAAAGTTTTAATGTTTGTTGTTAATGCTTGACTCAAATGATCATCTGTAAGCTTGTTAAACTTGTGCATAAATACAAGCTCATTTTGTTTACAATTAAAGGGTATGGAATAACTTCATAGTGATTTGTATCTCTTTCCACTTCATTCAGTCTAGTTGAACCAATAAAATAATTTTATCCCTGTCTTGTCTGTTATGTACTCGATTTTTAATATTAACTTTCTACCCCATTTGCATTCAGAAATCTTAAGTGCCTTATTTGCAATATTATTTTGCTTCAAATGTAATAACTAAGAGCAGCCTGAGATGAAATATTGAGAAACTTATTTTCTTACTCTTAAAGTAAAATATATAGCTAGGATGACAGCAATATTTAATATCATTATACCAGCCCAACATTTGTGTTCTCTGTGATTAAAATGGTGTCTTTTCTATGGGAAGATGTTGCTTCTGGATATTGCCTCCACTTTCGCTCCTGCCATTAGTAAAGTCAGTGGTCCCTCCCACCCCCCCCATTATTATAACTGATTAGCTTGAATACAGCATCTATCATTCAAAATTTGAGGAAAATTCACCAGTTAATGGTTTATACAAATGAAGTCATTTGGACCTAAAATCATACAAAAACATCATATATTTTTTTTAGTCAGATGTGTTCCTATCCTGAAGCCAGTTCTTTCTGAAGCCATATCTACATCCAGAATTCAAACCTTGTGTCTAACGTATAGTCTTGTAATTTACTTTTGTAATATTCTTTGTGACTAAATGCAAGGAATTGTATTAGAAACCAAAGCGCATACCCATTCCAATGGGTCTTATGTTGCAGAATCAGTACAGAGTTCTAAATAAATATAAACATAGCTTAAAAAGGCAGATCAAGCAGATTCTTCATTGCTCTGAGGGAGCCTTTGTATAAAGGTTGTGTTTACTTTGTACCTAAAAACCGCACTAAAAGACTTCTTTTGAAATTTTTGATCTGGGGCCCAGAATTTAAAGAATCCTACTCATTAAAATGTAATGGGTCCAAATAATACTTTAGCTCTTCTCCCATAAGCATTATATAAATAGAAATAGTTTCTTTGCAAAAGTAATGTGTGTATATTACTATATAGATTTGCCAGATATTGAGAAAGCCTGAGAAATTACACTCGTCCCATGATCCTCTTATTTCACATGAGTCACATTGATAAGATTTTAATTCTGAAGTTACCAAAGGTCATCATGAAAGCCGAAGAAAGAGGGGTATGAGTTTAATTTTAGAAATGTAACTGCGTAAGGTATAAAAGGTACAAAAACTTTTGCAGAAAGATATCTGCAAACTACCTGCTTGGGACCCGCAGTGTTTGAAAACATTTTCCAAAAAGAAATTGAGCAATTAAAAAAAAAACAAATTCACATCAAGAATCTGAAAAATATTTAACTTGATGATCCATATATTTTTTAAGAAGGTTATAATGTATTCTTGAGTTTAAATATAAATCTCTAAGTCCTGTTATGAGGACGGCAAAGAGGTGACAGAAGATATATGATGGTCATCAAACGTTATCCCTAAACTGATTTCCAACTGGGGAGCATATTTCCCCTTACTGCTTCTGCCAGAATCTCACTTATTTGGCAGATTTCACAAGGTGCATTATGGGGGCTTTCCACATTTCTCTGAAGTAGCCGATAAAAGCATCTGTTGAGAGAAGATATGTGGACAAGGCATTGGATGATCAAAGAAGGCAACTCCTATGTTTCTTTGACTCTCCCTCCCACTGTGCGCCCTCTTCCCTTGGCAACGTAGGTAAATGATTTGAACATCCTGCAAGGGTTTTCTGATTTTTCCATGATGTTTGGCAGCTGACCTTCCTCCAGTCATCCAGAATGGCGGTGCCAATTGATGGGCCCAGCACAGGCTTAAGAGTAGAAAGGTGCTTCTGCTTTCTGTTTTCTGTCTTATCCAGCCCCACACTCCCATCCCTGCTTTCAGGAACATCATGCTGAATATTTGTGGCATCCTTGTGCTGATTCGTGAGTCCAAGATATTTTCTAAACTATTCATTCTTGTGAGTTTTAGATAACCCAAAGAGTATTAGATTCATCAAATACAGAATTAGGGAAAAGAAAAGGAAGGGAGATAAATATCTTCTTTAAATTTAATTTTTTTACATGACTCAAAAGAGGACATTTCTATTCTTATAACTCTGGTTACTGTCTATCAGTGGTTCTTCACCATTTTGTGGTTACAGATTCCTGTGAGTATGTAAGTTAAGCAATGAAACTTATTTCTACCTCCCTTGAAAATGAAAATAATTAGATGTAATAAAAAATGTCAGTGGAATTTTAGAGTACTTAGAAACTCAACTCTTTGTTCCCTTCCCCATCACAAAATCAGCCCTGGACTGCAAATAGGTTTCTGCCTCTAAACTACAAAAAAAGTTGAACTCTAATGGGAATTCAGTTTTCTCTATCTTGCTTCCTAATTTAACATTTATTTTTCCTTTCCTTCATCATTCTTTATAGCAGGTTTCTAGATGGAATCATGGATATTTTTCATATAGTTCAAAAATTATCTTTTTGCTGTTTTCTCCTTTATAAATATTATTTTGAGTTGGTATAGGGTTCCATTGCAGAAGATATATGAAACAATAAAAAAGAAAGAGAATTCAAATTTAAGGGAATTGCTTCATTTATTAGTGGGTAAACAAAAAAAAAGTTACAAATGAGAGGGAAGAGAGCATAGAAAAAAAAATCAGTTGAGGAGGATCTCATCAGATCAATAAGAACCCAAAATCACTCTGAAAGTCATCAACATTCTTTGTATCTAAGACCACAAACGCATACAGAAATACTTAATTTATGAGCATAATCCTGAAGATTATCCATAAATAGTAAATGCTTAAATACTCACTCTTCTCTGTGAGACACTGTTCTAGGATTTCCTTATTACTTTTACTAGATTTGGCTATTTTCAATCTCATCAGGTAGACAGAGACAGATAGACAGACATATAGATATAAATGAATAAATTCTTGCATTCATTGCAGGACTAGCCTACTTTGACAAATTAGAAACATAGATATGAATACTTAACCTATTAAAAGAACACAGTTCAGTATATGTTCCTGGAATTATAAGGACACACTTATAAAGCTACAAGGAAAATGTGTAAAATAAAAAAGATTCTAAAAGAAACACACCATGTTTAAAACAAGGTGGGAGAAATGGACTTAAGCGGTCTTGCTTACAAATCTTGATTTCAATAGAGAAGTAACTCATGGGAGTAACTTTGAGTCTTAAAAATTGTATATACTCTCACACAGATCAAACTGGTGGTTACCAGCAAAGAGAGGGGTTATGGAATGAGCAAAACAGATGAAGGGGATTAAGAGGTGCAAACTTCCAGTTATAAAATAAGTAAGTCACGAGGGTGTATCATACAGCATAGAGACTATAGTCAATAATACTATAATAATATTGCCTATGACATATAATAACTAGACTTATCAAGGTGATTAGTTTGTAATGTACAAACATATAGAATCACTATATTGTACACTTGAAACTAATATAACACTGTATGTCAATTATAATTCAATTAAAAAGTAAAGCATAAAAAAATAAAGCCCTAAAGTAGAAAAAAAATATGTGCATACTCTCATCTTGTATCTTTACAAGTATCTTTAGTATTGCTACACTGAAAGTGAACTGGTAGACAAAGAGGTCATGTTTGAAGGTGTTAGAATGCTCAGAGCATAAGTGCACTCACTAGAGGTTTCTCACAATGGCATTTGGGATGTTAATACCTTTGGTACGAGAAGGTAGAAATAGCAATTATGTCAGAAAGAAATAGTCTTTAAGTGGCCTTAATTTTTCCCCTCAAAGACTAGAGAATATACTTTTATATATTCATCAATAAATATTTTAATTCCCTTTAGAGGCAGGTACATGTTAAGCTATTTGAATATGTGATTTTCCATCATGTTAAATGATGACCTAAATTGTCAGCAAACACAAACATGTGCATAGAATCACACCACGCAGAAATAATGTTTAGCTACTTAGAAAAAAAAAAAAAAAGACCCTCATCTCTTCCATACACCAAAATAAATCCAAGGTGGTAAATTTTTCAATAAAATCAATATACAAGAAATATAAGTAAATATTTAAATATCTGGTTGAAGAACTTTCAAAACACCAAAGGCACAAATCAGGAAATAACAGAATAATTGATTGAGCTAGGAAAAACTTAAATATCTAGGTCAATCAACAATAATAAAAAAATTAATGAAAATTAAAAATGGCAACTGGGGAAATTTTTCTATGTAAATGACATTAGGAAGAACAATGGCCTTGCTGTAGAGAAAGCATTCACAAGTTGTTAACATAAAAATTGAATTCCCAAGAGAAAATAGCAAGAAGATACAAATAAGCAATCAAGAAAGAAGATAGATGAGTGATCAGTAAATATATGAAAACTGCTCGATTTTAATCGTTTTTAAGATTATTTATTTATTTTGAGAGGTGGGGAGGGGTAGAGAGAGAAAGGGAGAGAGAAGGAATCCCAGGAAAGCCCCATGCTGTCAGCACAGAGCCTGACATGGGGCTCCACTCAGGAACTATGAGATCATAACCTGAGCTGAAATCAAGAGTTGGACACTTAACTGATTGAGCCACCCAGGTACCTCAAATTAGTTAATTTTTAAAATTTTATTTATTTATCAAGACAATTAACATACAATGTAGTATTGGTTTCAGGAGTAGAACCCAGTGATTCATTGCTTACATATAACACCCAGTGCTCATCCCAACAAGCACCCTTCTTAATGCCCATCACCCATTTAGCCCACCCCCTTACCCACATTCCCTCCAGCAACCCTCA